AAGAACATTGGTATCAAACGAATATGCATCCTCATTCATCCTGATTTTTTTTGTGAAATCTAAGTCTTTTAGTCTCAAAATTACCTGTTGTGATCTTTCTTTTATGTATTGCATTATGACGTTTTGTGAAAAAAATCTGTACATGATGGAGAAAAACGGATGATTTTCAAATTCCACATATAGGAATTACTATAGGACATGTAAAAATTTATAGACAATAAAACCATCACAGGCCTGTGTTATTGCATATCTTTTTCAAGAAAATGTATTCTGTAAAGTCTGATTCAACTGTTTAAAAGACAGTGGAAACTGACTAACTGCAATGTGACATAGGTAAAACAAGATATCAACAGGCTTGATTACAAGTTCAAGAATATAAATGTTCCCAAAATGTTTCATTATAAACAAAATCACTAAAATAGTACTTGTCCTGTTTGCTGTATTAAAGTTAAATAAAGAAAGATTGTATCCATATATCCACAACTTCGTACAGTTATACCAAACCATAGAAACAAGGTAGTTCTGAATTTTACTTTTAGCTTTTTATAAAGCAAAGCTTAAATAGTTTTGTAACTATATTTGTTACACTACATCAAAAGGCACAAGTATTAATCTAAAACTAACTACTCTATAAACATGCCCACCTAAATCGAAAGTATATTATAAACAGAGCAATTTTTTTTATGTTTACAAACACATGAAACACACCAAAAAATACTGAAATATATTTAAAATACTTGATGCACTGAAGCCAAGTGCACAAGGTAATACGGAAGTTTTACAGAAACATCTGTTGCTCTGAAGCCAAATGCATAAGGCAATACTAAAGTTTCACAGAAACTTCTGTTGCTCTGAAGCCAAATGCACAAGGCAATACTAAAGTTTCACAGAAACTTCTGTTGCTCTGAAGCCAAGTGCACAAGGCGATACTAAAGTTTCGCAGAAACTTCTGTTGCTCTGAAGTCAAATGCATAAGACGATATAAAGTTTCACAGAGACTTCTGTTGCTCTGAAGCCAAATGCATAAGACGATACTAAAGTTTCACAGAGACTTCTGTTGCTCTGAAGCCAAATGCATAAGGCGATACAAAAATTTCACAGAAACTTCTGTTGCTCTGAAGCCAAATGCATAAGGCGATACTAAAGTTTCACAGAAACTTCTGTTGCTCTGAAGCCAAATGCATAAGGCAATACTAAAGTTTCACAGAAACATCTGTTGCTCTGAAGCCAAATGCATAAGGCAATACTAAAGTTTCACAGAAACTTCTGTTGCTCTGAAGCCAAATGCATAAGGCGATACTAAAGTTTCACAGAAACTTCTGTTGCTCTGAAGCCAAATGCATAAGGCAATACTAAAGTTTCACAGAAACTTCTGTTGCTCTGAAGCCAAATACACAAATACTAGACTTTTACCTGAAACATCCATTCTACTAAAGACAAAAACATGATACAATATTTACTTGAAACATCCGTTGCATCGAAGCCAAAGGCACAAGAGAAAATTCCTCTTCATCACTGTCAGTATTACCCATTCCTTGTTTGGTGTAGTGGGTACTGAACTCAATGTGTTCCTTCAGGGCATTTATCCATTTCTAGCAAGATAAAAATCCCATATCAAACATTATTCATTAAATGATTAACATATTTCTTCTTCCTACATTATGCCAATTTAGCTTATCTTATTCGAACTGTAAACAAGTAATAAATCTATAGATAATATATAAAATAGGCTAATACAAAGCCTATTGATAACAAAGACACTCAACCTTCTAGTGATAGCAGTAACCACATACCACTCATCACCCAAAGAATAAAGAACGTACACGTTGTTCGTCTGCCAAATTACACTGAATGCGCAGGGCCTCCTTTGTCCTAGATTCCATTATGTAAATAAACACTGAAAAGAACAATATTATCGACGTCCAAGTTATATTATAAAGTTGACGGAGAACTACCTTTGACTCACTATACAACTCATGTAACTCACTGAGAAAGAAAAACTAGAAGAGATGCTGCTGTTATTACTCATAGTTCTAAGTAAACAAACAATGTTATGTGCTGGACAATTAGCTGCTGTCACTGGGGTTACTCATTTGGGGAGGGTATAAAAACTGAGTATGTGAATCTACATCTTTTTTTTCCATAAAGCATTACTCCCCAATTTTTTGTAGCTGGAGTACCCTTAAACTGATTTACTTATTGTAAACACGTGTGTGAATGTAACTTCGAGAACAGTAAGATACGCATTAGCATTTTGAAGTCTCACTGGATGTGTAGCTACTCAAAACAATTGCTAAGAGGAGGTAACCAAATCAAATGGTTGAAATGGAAACTGAATTAAAAACACAGAAATAAGCAAAGCTGGAGATGTGTGCTCTTCACAGATGAATCTAAGTTTGAATTGTTCAGTAACAGTCAATGACAGTTTGTTCTAAAACAGAGTAAAAAAGTATCCTAGTCAAACATGGTGGTGGATCATTATTCACAGATGAATCTAAGTTTGAATTGTTCAGTAACAGTCAATGACAGTTTGTTCTAAAACAGAGTAAAACAGTATCCTAGTCAAACATGGTGGTGGATCAGTATTCACAGATGAATCTAAGTTTGAATTGTTTAGCAACAGTCAATGACAGTTTGTTCTAAAACAGAGTAAAACAGTATCCTAGTCAAACATGGTGGTGGATCAGTATTCACAGATGAATTTAAGTTCGAATTGTTTAGCAACAGTCAATGACAGTTTGTTCTAAAACAGAGTAAAACAGTATCATAGTCAAACATGGTGGTAAATCAGTACAAGTCTGGGGTTATATGTTAGCCAATGGTGTTAGTGATCTATGCAAAACTAGTGGCACCCTGACTGCTAACAAGGATAAGCAGATTCCCTCATGGACACAAATCACTGGTCAAAAATTCATCTTTCAGCAAAACAATGATCCTTATTTGTTTGTTGTTAAGTCCATAGCTACACAATGGGCTATCTGTGCTCTGCCCACCACTAGTATTGAACCACGATTTTTATCATTGTAACCTTGCAGGTTTGCCGCTGAACCACTGAAAAGTTACTTAAAAATCCTTATCTGTTATTCACCTACAAAGTGTACTGAAACCTAATTTTTAGGGTTATAAGACCACAGAGGTACTGCAGAGCCATTTGGGGGCTAACTAAATAGTTATCTACACAGTGTCTAAATAAAAATAAAAGAGTGCCCTGTAAATATAGCTGAGATATAACACTAAGAAAACAAATAACCAAGAATCTAGTTTTTGTTATAGGTATTCTGCCATGAATCTCTTAATCATTCTTGTTAACAACTCACCTCTCTGTCAAGCTGCTGATAATGAAGAAATGGAACACTGAATCTTTGGTTTGTGTTATCAGAAAAGTGTACAGTAAAAGCTGCCTCATCACTCTCCTCAGCCTGGAATAAAGTACATTCAATAACTAAAGTTATTTTTGAAACTTGAATAAATATCTTATAATTAAGGTGATATATTTTTCAATAACTAACACAGATGAATAACCACTAAGGTAAAAACAAATTATATAAAATGGTATTTTAATTATAGAAACCTATAACTTTTAAAAACTACAAATCTGACTTACTAATTTGTGTCTGTTGCATACTTGGAAATTTCTTCTGTTTTAGTAATTTTAATTCTGTAACTTCTGTTACATTATCAAATAAAAACCTCATTGTTTATCTTTTTTCCAAATCATAATTGTTCGTAAACAAAAACAGGAAAATGGAACACAGTGCGACATTAATCTACCAGAATTAAATGCTATATCATTTTTTTACACCTAACTGAAAACATATATATCAGGCATCTTAAACAGTTAGTACTAATATCAAGAAACAATAATTAAAAAAAACATGTCCTCTCTCAATACCTTTCAAGGTTATACAATAATATTTTCAGGATTAGAAAAATATTGTCATTTGATGTAATGCTTTTGTTTTAACACTGAATACGCAGCATGCATTATGTTTTAATGCAAATAAAAATGATAGTTACTTTAAAATGTAAAAGATAATTTGTTTACATACCAGTACATGACAAGAAAAGCTTTATTTTGTTCGTTTTTACTTGACATTCATCAACAAATACATATAATGTTTTGAAAAAAAATCATGAAATAGTAAAAATGCCTAATTTGGAACTACTGACCAGAGAGAAGACAGCCTGTCAGTAGCACCCTACCATCCATGCTAAAGTATAAATTTCATTCTTACAATGCAATCACAGTTTAAAGTGTGGGGATTATTTTGTGGTATCTCTGACTTAAACCTGGTTTGCCAGCTCTGATACCAAGAGCTCTACAAAAGGACCAACCCAAACTGTATCAAGTTACTGAAATGGAAAATATATAGACCATGTCCAGTTGTAAAAAATACCATAATAAGACAAAATGAAATTACATCTGAAAAGCTAACACTGTTGAATATGACTGTTAATGGTGGCTCAGTTATGATGTAGGAAGGCATCAGTATTAAGAGTATACAGATATTACTGAGATTCCAGGAGGGTGAAATGCCGCTCACTGACAATTTTAAATAATACTGGGCCCATCAATACAACTTTGCACTTTCCTTAGTTGCAATCACACCAGGTTTGGTTCATATGCACAATAATGACAGGTGTCATATTGTTATGTTATGCCTTTGACAAACAACCTTGATCAAAAAACTTCTGACCAGAAAAAAATTTGGATTTAAATCCTATAAAATACTTTCGAGACCACCTTGAAAGTTGTGTACATCAACTCACATCACAACGTCACTAAGCTCGGTATTACACCGAGTTTTAAAAAAAACATTACCTTTAAATTGTTGTCCTTTTGATTTTTAGTTTATGTATACATATAGAGAAATTCCAACTTATTGTTACAGTAAACAACAAGACCAAAAAAAAAAACTAAATTAGGTAATAAAAAAAAAACTCAATTCTTACCACAACTTTAGCTTCATCAAGATATTTGTAGCTTTTTCGTTTTGTCCCAGTAGCTGCATCAGCTCTACAGTAGATAAAAAAGGGAGAAAAAGATGCTTCACTGATATATATACACATAGATTTTCGGTTGAATTATTTGCAAATATCATAAAAACAATTTATGCCTTGATTTGAGCTATTACTTCTTTACTCAGTATGTAGACTATTATCTAAAGTTACACCATCAATGAAGTTTTGAGAAGTTGTGGGTTATAACATCAAAAACCTAGCCTCTATTTGATTTTCCTTACTAAATGTCTTGTTTTTCATCTGGATTGTTTGGATATGTCTGATAGATAGGTCATTCCCAATGCTTTTGGGAGCTATTGCCACAGACAATAAGTGAGAAGTGAAAAAAAAAACTGAGGTATGTTTACAGATATGAATTTTGTTTAGTTGCCTGTTTAATAAATATTTGTTGATTTTAAACCATCAAAACAATGGTTGTATGTATTTTCTTTAATAAATTATATTATAAATTAAATATATGAACAAAATCCTTTCTTGTATGCACATTCAAGTACAGACACTTTTTTTGTTGAGAATTTCACCCTTACTCATATTAATGCACGTATAAAACTTTAAACTTTATCAGTAGATACATCTGGTCCACCTAGTGCAAAATTATTAATGTACAAGATGTCACACTAGTCAAAATTAAAAAACTTAGATATTTATGAGAATCACTTGGCAATCTGGGACAAAATTAAGCAAGAGAACACGGTAATTTTTATTTTAAACTCAGAATTACCACTTTAAGTAAAAGGTGTTGTTAATAACACATAAAACACTGAACTTAATGATCATTATAATCTTAACAAAATGTTCATCTTAATTTTAAGCATAGTCAAAACAAGATACAACCTAAAGTGTCGCAGCATACCTGGAGAGAAAAAAAGAAAATACTCCTCTTTCTAAAACAGCCCAAAATGGTTTCCAACCCAGAAGTTTACTTTTCTGAGGAATTAAAAAAAAGTGATTAAATGAGAAAGAACAGCAAACAGTAAAGTAAGAACACACACACACACATATATATACCCAAAAATATGTAAGTATTGAAAAATTAAATACAAGTTCTGTGCACAACAAGTCAACTCACAAACAACATTTCTGAAAGAGGAGGAAACACCTCTACTTTTAATCTACTACTTATTACAAAAGAATATATCCAGTTCCAATCTCTTTAAACATGAAGTTTTTTAAAAACTACAAGTCCAGACTAATCCACAGTAAATATAAAGACTGAAATACTCATGTGGTACCCATTTTTAATTAATACACATAAAAGACTGGAATGTGGTTTGATCCTTTCCCAACCGGTATATGTTCTACTCAGTTTGAGTTCATGCACACTCACAAATCAGCTTTCAGTATTTAATTACAAAAATAATAATTATAATTGTATTTCAATACGATGTTACTAAAACATATTTTAAGAATCAATATTATACCATTCTTTAATGCTTATCTAGTTTATTTTAGAAATAAAAATTAAAAAATGTCCAAAATGTGCCATCTTGTCTCTATATGTCTGAAACATATACATCACACACTTAACTCTCCTAATAAGATATCATGTTTTTGGGTTAGTTTGGATGTTTATTTTATGTTTACGTACTTTTCTGTTGTTTTTTTCCAGCTACAGATTTATTAATTGAACCCACATTTACTTCATTGCCTGCTAGGATCTTAAAAACTTTATGACTGGATTTCAGTTCTGAAAAGCCAATAATCATTAGTGTGCCATACAAATTAGTTACAAACTTTAAAATGCTGAGGTTTGGTATTTCAAGGGGTAACAGGGCAACCTCGAGACGAATGTTTTGAAATATTTCTCAATTAATTATAGGCTTCATTGTTGTTTTTACAGTTTATGATGAGGTTCTTTTCATTCCTGATAATTGTTTTGTATTATGTCTGTTTGAAAGGTACAGGAATATTATTTTATAACAGGATATCAGTTAAGGACACTGTGGTCTAATGAATAAGCTAAGACCTGCAGCAGCAAACTACTCAGATGACACAAATATTTCTTTTTAAATTGAATATATTGTTAAGTCTTATGTGTGTGAAACAATACCAGGAATTCTCATTTAGTGAAACAAAACTATAATTTTCAGACACAAATTGATCTCAACAAAAAAATGCTGTAGTTGATAACGTATCATGCCTGACAAAGGTAGTGTTCACAATGTTGAAAAGTTAGGTAACTGTTCATTGACGAGTCTTTGTCAGTACTTTCATGTATGAATTACAGCATGAGGTCAACAGCTGAAAACAGCAAAGATGAGTGCCAAAGGAATACATTAATGCATATCGAACAAGTTAAAATTGGATTGGATATATAAAAAGGAAATTTATATCAATAAAAAAAATCATGATAAAAAGAAGTATTTTTATGTTTTTTCCAAACAGTTTCTCAACACGATTTTGGACACTTCATACCTAAATCAAAATGATATATTTACTGTATCTAGTTTCATGAATATCCTTATACAGAAACTAAACACTTTTAAGAAAGTTTGTACCAAATTTCATGCAACTTGGTTAATTATTTTCAGCATAACAACTAAAAGAACAAGACAAGAGATATCAGTGATATCCCTCCAGTCCAAAAAGGGTTAAAAAATATACACACTGTATTTATATTAATGTTACATAATAAAATACACAAAATTACTCATTTCAAAAAACCACTATACCAATTCTGATTGAAGCTTTTCCTATGCAAAAATAATTTTTTTTGTAAGTTTAGTTTTACTAGATTTGTATATAAAAAAGAATTCAACTCAACAACTATAACGAAATGCGTACAAAGTTATTAAAAAAAAACATTTACCCTTAACAATGGTCCCTCAAATCTAACAGCATTTTTCTGAAGTTTCCTAATTGGCTGGACACAAAGAATTTGTTTCATATGAGGATTTGTTGTAAGGTCTGCAGCTATTTGACCTAAAAAACATTGTATTTATATACAATAAAAATAAATGTTAATTAAACAATATGCATCACTGATTTTCAATGTTGAGATGCAATGTAGCAATTGCATGACAACATGTTTCACTTCAAATTGTTTCTCAATTAAACTAATGTCACTTATAGTATATTACATAAAAATATGATGCCGAAATGAACAATACTGTAAAAGGAAGACAATTTTTTTTAACAAAAACAATGACCAAAATGTAACTCTTAACAAATTTTAAACCCATTTTTCTGGAATCACATTTTACCTAGTTTGTAAATGTAGCTCATCTTAATTATTAAATAGTGTATTTAACAACCAAAACAAGTAAAATAGAGGAACTAATATGTCATGAACAATTGGAATTACTCTTTAAAACATAATTAAGAAATCCAACGATAATTACAAAAACATTTAGGTGTAAATGATGTTAACACACGGAAATTTATGATAATGTACAATAGACTCTGTAAAACTGTGTAACAGAGGTTATGGTTAAAAATAAAAGAAGTAATGATACATGTACACGGCATAACCAAGATATAAATGCATGTGAATATTCTGAGGCAAAAAAGAAAAGAAGACGAAAGGAAGTCTTACAATTTTTCCTGACTTCTTTTTACCCTTTTTTCAGGTTTTCTAACTTTTAAAATTTTTCCAAGTTTGTGGCCAGTCTTACATAATACACATTATTTGAAAAATCGTTTCAACTTAACACCTTCCTCACATCAAAGACTGTTACCTCGATGATTTTTAATGGAAGAATCAATTCCACACTGTAAAAGCAACACCGCTGTTTCTTTCTGTCCTCTATAAGCACAACAGTGAAGGGCTGTATTTCCGAGGTGTCCGTACAATTTATATTTGGTGGGTTGGCATCATGAAGCTACAGAAACCAAAGACAAATCTAGTTAATCAGTTCATGAAAAACACATCTCTAATAAAAGGTGTTGAACATGACAGAAATAAAAGAGAAAGAAAACGATCCTGTGTTTTATATCATTTTTTTTCTTTCATTCTTCTATTTAACCAGTGCTTATATCTGTGATAAAGTTAGAAAGTTCTGAATAGTACCCAACACTAGAGCTGGGAAGTTAGTGAAATTTGCTAATTGATTACATTCAGTTAATCATAAAACTTGAATAGTTGGAATAATCGAAAATAGTAATAACTAGAAATACTAATCTCAATTAGTTAATTATTTGCACGAGTTGTGACACTAATTGATTAAGCTTAACAGCCTTGAATTAATCTAAAATAATAATGAGAAATCATAATTGCACTTTTTCACTTACTTCGATAGTTAGAATAATCAGAAACAATAACAAATGGAACCCTAACTTGAGAAACAGGTTATATTCTTGACACTAATTGATTTACTCTTAAATTTGATCGATTATTTTACATGATAATAATTAATGTAATTGATTCTCATAGGTAGTTAACTATAGTGGTTAATCAAATTAGTCACCCAACACTAGTTTATTATCACAAAATACACACTAAACAAAGCTGCTCACATACAACCAAAACATGGTACAATAAGATCTTCACCAAATTCTAAACGACTAACTAATCAAAAACATCTTAGGTGTGAAAAAAAAAGGTGAGTGTGCGACTTAAAGGAATGAAATCAAAATTGGTGGCCAAACTGGTATCTACACTTATAGTATTGATAAGAATTTTACAACAAATGTTCATTCATTAGTTAGACAGGACATGTTTTTTTTATTCAACTTGAGGCATGATGGTGGGTGAAACAAAATACACAGCCTAGTTAACTGATGAATGAATATTTACTGTAAAATCTTATCAATACTGTAAGTGTAGCTACGCTTTTGCGGCCAATTTTGATTTCATTCCTATATGTCACACACTCAATCCTTTTTTTTTTCACACCTAAGGTGTTTCTGATTAGATATCATGACTTTTGTCAATACACAACAACAAACAGCAAGCAAGAAAATGACACTCAATATTAACTCACATTAGCCTTAGGATCGCAACCCTATTATTCGAAACAGACCTTTACTTTACAGAATTAACCAAATTCTTTAAAACACATGGTGGTAATTTTTCCTCTCTAAAACAGTGTTAATAGCTTCCTTTACAGTAATGCCATGGAATTCAGATTAACAGTTTCTTGTCATCACCCCCAAGCAATCAGTACAGCCGTATCAAACATCATTATTCATGCTAATTGTTTAATCTAATATCACATGATGCTAAATGCTCTTTAATTAGGATAATTTCATAAAATTTAGTAAATCTGTGCTGAAAAGTTGACAATGAATAATAACTGTAAACTCGTATGATTCTTTTGAAAACTCGAGCTAGAAACTGATAATGTAGTTTTGCTTGGCCTAACCAATACTTATATACCAGCACTTCCTTTCACTTTATAGTTTTGCTGCTCTAAATCAGCAGTCTTCAATCCAAATGACAAAAAACTAAAAATGGTCCACTTTTTCTCTTAAGTGAAACTGTAGTAAAAATGTTAGTAAAAATTTTCATCAAATTTTACCAGTTTTTGTTAAATAACTTTGCACGTGCGGCTTATATTTACATCAAATGAGACTCTTAATTATAGGTTGTAAGGATACATCAGTGAACCAAATTTGAAAAAAATCCATAAAAGTTAAGTATGTTTTTCTATCAAATAAATTTTCCGTACTTTTGGTGTGAAGAAAAAAAGGAAAAAGGAGGAAACTCCATCAAAATTGGAGATGTTATATCTCACATATTTTTTAAAGGATTGCCTTGAAATTTAGTAAGAGTCCAGTAGAGCACATCCACTGAAAATATGGATATTTTGTATTATCACAGTCCGAGATACAGAAGGTAGAATATTGTTAAACTCTCACTCCTGTTAATAACACAGCATGTCCTGCAGCAAGTTGTTTTAGGCTTCAAGCCACATTACCGTGTGTCTTGATTATCTTCACGTCTTAATTATAGTAAACTGACCATACTGATATAGTCAGTTTAAGTTGCAAAGTCTGAAATATTAATTGTAACCCAAACTAATGCAGATATTTCTCCAGTCTCAAGAGGGTACACAACACTAAGTTTTTTGGTAAGTTATATCCACCAAATTAGTGAAACACTTTCATCACGGTAACTTACTGATGTATCTAGTCAGTGACAATCACCCAAGTACACAAAATCATCAATAATATTTCAGGATAATAAAACTTCTTAATTTTTAGATAAAACAGAGCAAAACATTAAAAAGATTTTCAATGTCTCACCAGGTTAACCTCAGATACAACTACAATGAGTTCAGGGGCAATTAATCCACCCTAAACACAAAGAGCATTTCAAACCTGCTCAATTTCTTGATTGGATGCAAGATAACCTGAAAAAAGATACAACTGTTCTTTTTTTTATTTATTCATTTTTTTTTACACTGTTTTGTCAGTATACCTCACATCAGTTTTAAAATTCAGTCTAGTTTGTTTTAAAGCACAAAGTTCCTCAATGGGCTATCTGTACTCTGCCCATCGTGGGTATTGAAACCCTGCTTTTAGTGTTAAGCCTAGAGACTTATCGCAGAACCACTGCGGGCTTTAAAATTCAGTAATTCATCATTTCTTCATTGTGCCTTAATTGTAACACTGAAGCTGATGTGTATTGTTACTAATAAACAGAATCTCTGGTAAAAGCTCAACGTACGAGCTTGTTCAACGTTTGTAGATCTCCTTCTCGTGCAGCACTAAGGAGCTTGGCCTCTTTCCTCTTCACGTCCGCATCTTCTGCAGCTGTGAAAGGAATGGAGTTGTGAGTATCTATTTCATCAAAACATATTGTAAGCTTTAAAACACTGCACTTTTTATGCATAAAACTTTAACTGTTTGAAAAAAAAAAGACTAATTTTAAAAGGTCTAATAATTCATATCATTTACTTCCTTTTCCTTACTTTACAAAGGTCTAATAATTCATATCATTTACTTCCTTTTCCTTACTTTACAAAGGTCTAATAATTCATATCATTTACTTCCTTTTACCTTACTTTACAAAGGTCTAATAATTCATATCATTTACTTCCTTTTCCTACTTTACAAAGGTCTAATAATTCATATCATTTACTTCCATTTTCCTTACTTTACAAAGGTCTAATAATTCATATCATTTACTTCCTTTTCCTTACTTTACAAAGGTCTAATAATTCATATCATTTACTTCCTTTTCCTTACTTTACAAAGGTCTAATAATTCATATCATTTACTTCCTTTTCCTTACTTTACAAAGGTCTAATAATTCATATCATTTACTTCCTTTTCCTTACTTTACATGTCAAATAAAGAAACAATGCTATTTGAGACTGAAACCACATTCTTATATACATGTTATTAAGGAATTCCATGATATTTTCATTTTGAAGTAGTTAGAGAGCAAACAAGTTTTAAAGATCCTTAATCACCCTTTACTACAAAACACTATTACTATGTAAGATTTCACGGATCTTTTTCATGATTTGAAATATGAATGCCCATACAAACATACAAATAGTTTAGTTACCATAACACAAGAAAATGAAAAAGTAAAAAACATAAGAATTTTTTTAACAAATACCTCCGAGTAGGAGTTAACATATTAAATGGCATTAATGGCACAAATAATAAAAGAAACTCGGTGCTTAAAGGAATAAATCAAATGCTAAAAACAATAATCATCCAAGTGTAAAGTGTCATGAAGCCTGTTTGTGCAATGACATACATATACTTAATTTAGACATTTCCGTACATATTAGAAAGGTAATACTACAATGATTTACAAATATGAACAAAATCATAAACGTTCTTTAAGTTAATCCAGTTTAACAATGTTTTAAGTCAACTTGACTACGTATTGTCAAAACTTTAAATGAGCTCTGGGCAACCAATGTCACAGGAAACCACAAGTTGCAGCTCAAGCCATTTTATTTACTCTACACTAATGTAAAGCAATTTATAATCTGGTCTGGCAAGTTACAAGGTTAAGCTTCGTTAGTAATTATTCAGACCACATGCTGTGACATCATAAAAGGGTGTCAATAAATCCCTAACAGAAAAGGAAATCCACATAAAAAAACACGACACAAATATAAACCTATGCTAACAAAAATGCAATAGATGAATTGTTTACAGACAAGACTTCTTGGAGCTGTGCAAAAATGAATGTCGGAACATTTTATTCATTTTAATTTATGTATTAAATTAATGTTACATAATGACAAAATGTCAATACTAAAATCTTCTCCGAGCTACAAATTGTTGAAATAGGATTAGAATTATTTGCTGTTATGTTAAACTTATATTAAAGTTTTTCTTCGTTACCCATTCAAGCCTTATTAGTCTTCCATTTATTCAAAATCTATTATAACTACTGTCCTTTACTAATATTTTATAATTTTTCTGTGCTGTTCTTCACACTTACCAATCTTTAATATAACCTATACTTACAACACATACCTTGCAATAATTTCCGAACATCTTCACCTTTGGCAACATCTTTTGGTCTTTGCCCTTCACCATTTCTAATGAAAACGTCAGCATCATTGGCTAGCAATAAAATAACGAGTCCCTAAAATGAAAAAAAAAATCCATACAATTTTTATTTCCTATACTGTTTTGTATGTTGCAAAGTTGCTCCTTTGTGTGATTCATATCTTTTTCCTACTTCATGTATTGTTCATAATACTGCACAAACTTGTACAACAAAACACAATGACAAAAAAGTACAACAATGGCCAAGAATTAAGTAGTATTATTCTTCTGCGTGAATTCTAAAACATTTTTTTATGGTGCACATGAAAGGACTAATCGTTCTATACTTCCAGATGACATAGAAAGGCTTCAATGCATGCAAAAATTACAGAAACTTGCAAATCAAAAATTTCATTTGTAAAAAAAAAATTTAATTGCTAAGAAATAGATCACTCTAGAAAAAACTTAAAATATTTGACATGTTTAACAGCACATACTCTATCATTAATGTTGTAAACAGCAACACTTCTATTGCAATTATGCAGTAAAGATCATAACTTGACCAAATTTATTTGCATTAAATTATGTTAATGAAATTCATAAGAAAAGTTATTAAACTTATTATTTCAATGCAAGTTGTGTGAACTTCTTATACTTTTTTTTTAAAAGTCATGCAACTCTCTGTGAACAAATAAATAAAACAAATATTTAATTTTCAGTATTATTTCTACAATATGTTGAATCAAATAATTCTGTCACACATAAAACAAGGACAAATATTTTATATTTCATCATAATCACCAAAAAAACAAAAGTTGACAATGTTTGCTAGTAGTTAAAATTTCAAAACTTCGTGCAAAAATTCTCTTGTAAAGGTATTACTTAAGCTCACCTCTCTCCCAGTGTAAGCTGCTTTGTGAAGAGGGGTATCACCTGCGTCATTGACAACATTCACATCTGCTTTGCTCTAGAGTAAAGAAATATGAGTATCTTATAACAAAATTTCTCAAAGTATCTCTCATACAAATAAGAGCTTTCACTGACACAATTTTTCACAATCTAAATTATTTTACATTAATAGCATAAATTTCACAAAATGTTGAAATTTAGGAGCTATTTACACCTATGTTAATGATTGAATTCAACTAAATGAGAATGGGCAATCAAATAAGGAAGTATTATTGAAGAAAATGTGGAGTTTGACTAGTGTAACTCATGAAATTTAAAGAAATCGAGCATCATCTCACCTATTTATTTACAAGTTTAAAATAACTATATCTCAAAGTTTTCTTATGCAGGTGTAAACTACAACAGGTCAAACATTATTCATCTCCATTAAGTGCAAGGTCATCAAAGCAAGTGCACAACACCTAATAAGATATTAAACTGGTAGATAAGTTGAATTACATGTCATGCAGTTGTTGGTAAGAAATAAAAATAAGCTCTTAGTTATATGACGATACAAAAACATACATTTGGTGTGTCTACATCGTAATCTGACAATTCTATTATAAAATGAGAGTTTTCAGCCTTTTTTTAAAACAAAAGATGACGATACTTTTTGATCCTGAGTATGAACTTGTAAAATGGAATTACTCCCATGTGCACAAGTGGGGGTCAAAGTGTAAGAAGTCTGACCTTGTAAAGAGTGCCATTCAATATGGTCTTATAAATTTGATGTTAGAACTATCAAAATCAACATTATACGTTACCCCGTATTGCTGGTTTTGCAACAGTCTGTATTATAGAAAATACCAGATACAGTATACAGGGATGCTGAAAAAACTGTAGATGTGAATTTGAGAGACTGTATAGGTTAGGCAAATGCAATTTGAAATCTGTACAATGGCAAAAATATCTATTCTTCACATGAACATCACTTTGCTCTCTGCCTTGTCAGGGCCCGAGTCAGATTGACTTTATCATTTCTCAGACATATCTTAACTACAAAAAGTTTATTAACATGTCTGAATTTTTTGTGTACAACAGACTTGTAAGATTTATTAAAAATATGCCACATTTCATGAAGGTACACTCTGTAAACTCAAAATTATAGTCAAAACTCCTTTACAAAAATGGGATTAGTCCAGTGGACTGACCCCGTACACATTCAGTTGATACAAGGTTTTCCAATTCTTTTCATTATCAGTAACATCACTCAGACACTTTAAAATATGTGCACTTATTATTTAATTATTTACAGCACTTGACCAGCTGTTTTGTGCAAATTGCCCATACATAGAATAAGTGATAAATTTATAACGATACTATATTGAAATAAGAAGGTAAAAATTCAGGGTATGTTTGTATGCCACATTTGTTAACAGAAAACAACCTTAATATATCAAAAAACTTTGATTTTTAACAACAAGCTAGAGAAATGCACGAACATACCAAAACATGAAACTATGTTCCACCGGTACCAGCAGTTGAATAACTGATGTATGCCCAAAATAAGAAACAAGATGAAATGCCAACCATCCACAGTTAATATATCAAAAAACTATTTGATTTTTAACAACACACTAGAGAAATGTACTGGTAATTAAATGAACATACCAAAACATGAAACTATGTTTCACCTGTAACAGCTGTTGAATAACTGATGTATGCCCAAAATAAGAAACAAGATAAAATGCCAACCATCCACAGCTAATATATCAAAAACTATTTGATTTTTAAGAACAAGCTAGAGAAATGCACTGGTAATTAAATGAACATACCAAAACATGAAACTATGTCTCACCTGTAACAGCAGTTGAACAACTGATGTATGCCCAAAATAAGAAGCAAGGTGAAATGCCGACCATCCACGGTTACTTTTCTGTGTCCCTACAGGAAAAGTATCCATTTAAAATGTTAAAAAATTACAAATAGTATTAAAAAAAAACAGATTTAGATAATGATTATAAAATAATTCTGATTTATGTTCATTTCTTACTTGACTTTCTTTTACTTTTAACTCATTTGTATTTTTATCTTGAAACTTTCTTTTGTTAGGGGCTCATCACACTACTTCTTGGTTAACACTACAGAAATGAATTTTAGATTAAACCAGTTCTCTAGTGTTAAAAAAACAAGCCTTGAAACATCATGTGGTGCCCTGAATGAATGAAAGTTTCGAGATAAAGATGTAAATGATTCAAGGATAAAATAATTTTGATTATTAAACAGACATACACCAAAATAGAAAGAAACTAGTAGCACAACTAAATTACTTTTACTGGTTTAACTCATTCAATCAAAGAGTTTGGTTAAAACTAATTACTTCTTCACAGGCATGATGGACTATTACAAAGAGATCAGTTTTATAGTCTTTCATGTTTATTGTGTTCCTGAATTCAGATTTCTGTTAGTCTTTTTGTTTCCCTAATGTATTGAAATCAATGATCACAAGGCAGGCTTTAAGTGTTTACATATCCTTTGTATGTTTTCAAAGAGACATTTCGAATAGAAATTTTCTTCCTGCTTATATCTCATGTTTATCTTCTTTATCAGGTTTTCAGGTTGCCAAAGGAGGTCATTGTGATCTGTTTTCCTCATCTTCTAAACATGTTGTATAATATAATCTTGTTTATTCTGTTGGGGTATTTACCAGTATTATCACTATCTCAATAACCAGATGCTGATAAATACCTTGCACTACAAATCAAGTTTATTTGTTTCAGAATTTTCACACAAAGCTGCACAAGGGCTATCTGTGCATACCCACAATCCCAAGTTCACAGCAATTTTTTGTGTTAACAGGAAGTGAGTCATAAATCCTTGGATCCACTAGTCCACACCCAACCAACCATATCCTTGTCTCAACAATGAAACAATAAAAGTCATGAACTAAAACAAGTAAAGATTTGTTTCCACAAAAAAGAATTTTTTTTTTAATTAACACATATCCCAGCAATCCAAATTTCTAAAGTAATTTTTATGTGGTATTATATTAAAGACTTTCTGAAAATCAAGACATATAACAATGGTCATGGTGCCCTCTTCTACACATAATAAAATAACCTCAAAAACCTTTTTCACATCGAGAGGCAAGAATACTTTCTGAAACCTACACAGGAAAAATATTATAAATTCTCTTCCTGTTAACATTTTTACAAGTCTATTCTGTTGTACATTTTTTGTCCACATCAGAAGGATTCAAAAATTTAATGTTCAAAAAATATATACATATATTAATATAAGTCTCCAGCGTTTACTCATACAGTCAACAGAATATGTTGGCATGTAATTAATTTATATATTTTTTACATAAAGACCTATCTCCAAATATAATACAAATCATTTAATTACTAATATCAAATAACTAAATCATTCCTAACCTCTGCAGTTAATGTCAAATGAAAGATGTCCTTTTATTCTCTCTTTCAATAGTTGATTTACTATTTGAACATTTCCACTGCGAGAACTCTGCAACAGTTGATCTTCAGGATCACTCTCAAGGGAAGAACTTGATTCAGACTTGTCATCTTCTTCTTGCTGCATTGTCTTGCATTGATTAAATTATAGGGTTGGCTGTTGAATGTGTAAACAGTACTAAAAATATAACTTTTCAGTCAACAGTTATTTAATAAATTTAGTGTCTTTTGATAACTTCTATACTCATACACTTAAACAAAATTCGTTGCAATAAATATAGTACTTCATAAAACATCATTTGTCAAGTCACAGTTTGAAAAATTACTCAGGAAACATTTAGATAATTAAAGTAGTAATGTGTGTGTGTGTGTGTGCGCGCACACACACGTACGCACATGGGAATCTTTTTTAAACTTCATCAAACTAAGCAAAAATGAAATTAAATGTAGGGAAATACAGACAAGCTTCACCATATGTTTAAGTGACAGATGTGTATAGAGAGTACTATGCACTGCGAATGGAAAAGTATTTGGGGAATGGATCTGTCATCCCTCAGAGACCCATCTCAGAAAACATTGTTTTCATGTGAATTTCATTTGCTTATAGATACAGAGAGTACTGGTACCAACACCCTGTTGATTTTTAATACTTATCTCCGATACCCAGGTTTTGAAAGCATCACTAGATATGATGTCTTAATACGTAAGTCATTCGACTTGCCATTTTTGATCAGATTATTTGGCTCAAAGTGTGTTTTGTACTAGAGGTGTTTGGTGGGTATCATGTGTGGTAGAATAAGTTTACCCCACTTATGTTTAACTTCACAGTTACGGAGGCATCTTGCACGGCCATCAGATTTATTCTACGCACCTAACCTCATATGCAAGTAGTCTAGGCAGATCACTTGACTTCAAATATGCAACACTTCCTTTACATATGATAAACTTCATGCATTCAAAAATTAAAATTGCAACCAAAAAATATATTGTACACAAAGCACGACTTTCCCCCAAGTAAGTTATAAATAAAGCTGGATGATAAATGGAATTTGCTTATCAATTAATCATCAGGCTCATTAATCAACTACATTCAAGTAATTGACAATTCTCACCTGAGACTGATATTCCTATTTCCAACTTGTTTTGGTTTTTGAAAAGATATTTTCAAACTACCCTTTCATTAATATGATAAACATCGTTACATACGAAATGTTAGGACTAATTTATTTTTTTAATCATAAACTGTTGAGCGCGAGTATAGATCACATGCACAATGCAACACAAAACCTATAAAAAATATTATTAGTACAGTTCCTTTGGTTTCTCCTAAACAAATTTCCACAAGATTAGTACCAAAAGTGCCAATTTCTTTTTTTGATGAAAATAAACATTACTTGCTGACATTGATTAGAAATCAGGAAAATATTAAACATAAAATTTACCAAAAGTGCCAATTTCTTTTTTTGATGAAAATAAACATTACTTGGTGACATTAATTAGAAATCAGATTTTATGGATATTACCCTTCTCATGTCCTTTAAAAAAATTTTCTCCAGCAGTGTTGCATGAGAAATTAGTCAGTAAGGTTAATAAAAAAAACACAGGATTGTTATGGAAAACTGGGATATTCATTACTAAATAAATTTATTATTTGTTAAAAATAACTGTTATTAAATAAAAAAGAGCACACCATGTTTACAAAAAAACTGGAATATCTGACTTTAGTAAACAATTAATAAATAAATTATTTATTATTGAAAATAATTGTCCTTCAATTTCATGTGATAAAACTAAAATATTCTTATAATATGCAATTGAAAAAAAGAACCTATGAACACAAAAACAGCACAATATTCACTATTCTGCAAAAAAATTGATCATATTACTTATAGATGACCTATCTACAAAAATTAAAATGATTAATAAGATGGAAATATGAAAACAAGAAAACACAATTATTTAATTAGCAATTTTTCCAATTATTATCTTGTTTCTAATTCTATTATCATCTTGGAAATTTTGATCAATACATTTACATTTTACAAGGAAAAAGTAAAAAATGTCATTATACATCTAGTTCAAAGTTTCCGTAATTAATTTATTCAATCATGTTTACATAAAATATTATATGTAATTATAGTTTTAAAACTAAAATAAATTTTGGATTTTATGCATTAGTAACTGAATACAGATTAGTATAACTTTTGAATTAAGTTTGTTTTCACAGTCTCGCTTACATGCGATTCATCTGTTACAGTGGCTTCTAACATTTAGAGCAATCAAGGTATTCTGCAGAACAAAATCATATTATCTTGGCACAGAAATACATAAGGCTGGTAGTTAAAATCCCTCAAGTGAAATTTACGATTCTCCTGCATGTATACACATGAATATAAAGTGAGTTGTAAATCAATCATTTACCATTCAAACATTAATCAAGTATGGAACAGTTAGAAATTTTCTGGACCATTTAATCACAGTATGTAAGATTAATTGTATAGTGACCATTGAAATAATGTTATGCAAGAAATAAATTGAAATATAATAACCAGAAAATTATAGAAAAAAAACCTTAAGACAAATTAAG